GCCTTGCTTTCCAAGGAGTAAAATCTGCGAGGGGCAGTTATTATCGTTATTGGACTTGGTCCCCCCCCCCCCCTCTCTCTCTCTCTCTCATCGTCCTCTCCCATGAGATTAACCGTACTGATTTCCCTCCTGGACACCGGCCTCACCTCAACTCCATGCCCCTTAGGTTTGCCCGTTCTTTGTGCATAAACCCCTGTGATGGTTTCGCGAAGTTTTAGTAGTTCTTCTGCTTCCACGACAAATTCTCCCGGTTATACAACAACTCTGATAAAGAATTTGCCAGGCAATTGGGACTAGGGTGGCCACGGCTCAGGTATCAAGGATTTTTAGGGTTACCGAACCTGACGCGTTATTCATTTCAAAACCTGAACTCGTACCCGAATCTCTGGATATCCGAACTATATTATCTCATATTATCTGTGAGACAATTTTCGGATATCTGCGGATACCCGAATCCGATGGGTTTATACAAATTTTAATTATAAACTCTCAAATTTATATATTTTATACAAATAAATTATCAAATTAATGATAAATATTTATACTAAAACTAATTAAATTATAAAATGACAGTTTTTTTGTATAAATAAATATAAAAACAATTAAATATTGATAGATATATTTGTAATTTTGTAATAATTTAATAGTATATTACTTATTTTTTAACTATGCGGATAATTACCCGATCCAAAAATACAAATCCGAATCCGAACCCGAATTTCGGATTTTAAACATACTAAAACCCGATCTCTATCTCATTGTGCTGCAGATACCCGAAATTCGGATATCCGACCTTCGGGTCGAGACGGATACCCGAAATTCGGGTATTTTTGCCCACCCCTGCTTGGGGCCAAGTTCTGATTGATTTGCCTTTGGGTTTAGGATTTTGCTTTTGGTAAACAGGGATTATCAATTCTGGGTGTGAAAAATGGCGATGTTTTTATGATCGACAGATATTCATATCAATTGTCCATTTTATTTTCGTTCTCGTTTGACGAAACCCTATGCATCACATAACTTACGAACCAAATATATGGGTACGTAATTTTGACCCTTACGAACCATGGCCCGCAAGCTCAGTCATACAATACTATATGCCCATCTCTGATCGAACGTCGATAACCCATATATGAATATGGTCCATTCAGAAACCCGAGCAGGAGGAAATGTAGTAGCCTCGGCCCTCGTGCATGGTCTTCTTCCTCACGCCGTCGATTCCGTCAGGATCCATTTACAATGTTACGACCACTCCGTGAAAGAAGGAGCTATCAACGCTTGTGAAGCTCCATAACAAAGAAGAGTTGAGGGAACGCGTTCATATCGTCACCCACGGAGTCAAGTTGCTTGTTCGCGGTCTGGCCTATCCGATCCGACATTGTTCAATATATCATCCTCTCTCTCTCTTTCTCTCGGGGATCTGGGTGATATTTTTTTCAATCAAGTAAAGCCTGAGAGGCGCAGATTTTCCAGGGAAGAAATTATCTTCCGAGAGGAAGATTTGAAAAAAAAGAAAAAGAAAAAGCAATGCATGGTTAATGGGCCGCTACGTCAATATTTAAGGCCCAAATAGTTTATATTCGGCCCTTGAGTCAGTTCCCATACTGAAGAAAACAAGGTCACGCGCCTAATTTTACTATTTTATAAATTTACCGCTTTTCGGTGGGTTATAACCCAGGGATTTTCGGGCGGTGACTCTCACGCGCTATTAGTGCGCGTATGTTTTAACGTTTTCATTTCCTTTTTTCTCGTTACCCAAGCATATATTTTCTCGTTTATTTTTGACGGTTATCTCATACCCATTTCAATTGGACAGAAATCAAATACAAAAAGAAAAAAGAAAAAGCCATGAGCGTGCATATATACTTGTGCGAGTGAATATCATCGAGAGGCCTCTTTTCCACGCACGTTAGTTTCTCATTTGTGAATACTATCATGAAAATGAAGTTACCATGACTTTATTATATAAAGACCAGCGAGAACAAGTAATTACAAGACAGAACAAATCTCTTCCACTTGCATCTTCAAACCCATGTAAGAATACAGATTAACAAGAGATCAAAGAATCTGGGAAGTGCTAGAATTTAGTGACCTCGCTGCCATCTCTTAGAACCTCGTAAGCCTCTCGGCTTCTGCTTTTCTTCATCCCGGCTGTGAAATGGACCTTTGATGCATCCGCAGAGATACAAGTCACTTTGACCCATATCACTACCTTTGTCTTCATCCCTTCCACATCTGATAGCTTCCCTTTCTCGAGATACCCAGTGACGGTTGTGTTGAACCGCAGGACAGATGAGTCTTTGTAGCCAACTTCACAGATTGTTGGAATGAAAACTATTAGTTTTCCAGTCTGTTCGTCGAACTCATAGTTGGTTGCATCACGAGGGAAGATACCGACTGGGAAGCCGTACTCCTTTAGTAGCTCGGCCAAAGGTTTCTGCACTTTACCTGGTTACAAGAAAGAAACAGAACTTTTGCAAATTGAAGTTGGCAATTGATTTGGCCATAGCTGTACACATTGTAAAGCAGCACAAGTAAAACAAACCTTTGATTTTGTTGACCAACCATTTCGCTCCTCCTTCGATGCTCGTTGACAGTGACTACGAAGAAAGATATCACGGTAAATCAATGGTGATACATATAACACGAGATTGTCAATGCACATTTTGAGTTAAAACTGTTCAGCGGATTCGGGCATCATCAACCAAAAATCAGATATTTCTCAGGGGAAACACAGTGGAAACTACTTCCTCAATTTGACAAAAAAAAATCAAGAGACTACAACTTGCGGCATTCCGTTAGTATCGTTCTGACAAGGACGAATAGCATTACACAGTAACAGCACCAAGAGAAGACATACTATAAATTAGATTCCAGCCCTCAAGACCAGATTGGAAGAAATGGTAACGCACACAGGCGATAGCCAAGAACAAAACGCTAATAATCTATATAATGCAATGTATCAAATAAACAGAGAATTCCAGACTTTGAAAAGGTCCTAATACATGTAATGGCGTTCTTTCCATGGTCTCTTCACCTATAAAACCACCACAATAAGCCACACACCATTGGCAGAAATTCAATAAATTCCGACGCAAACCAATGAAGAGACATTGATCACACCAAAATCACGACAGAGCTCGAATGCAATTACGCTTTCGGTAACGCAATCAAACGAGATTATCCACCATCCATGGGATTAAAATGCGCAATGAGACGGAGAAGGCACAAAAAACATGGATCGATGAATCGGAATTCTCGAAATTACGGATCAGAATCGGGATCGGAAATCGAATAAACAAGGAAAAAGATGGATCGATCAGACAATTATAAATATCGAGAAGAGAGAAGAGTAGAGAGAATACGTTGATATCGTCAGCGACGGAGTCGAGCTGCTTGTTCGCCTTCTGGCCGATCCAATACGATCCGACCTTGCTGAAAATTTGATTCATTCTCTCTCTCTCTCTCTCCCCCGCAGAGATCCAAGAGAGAATTTGTTTTCTAAATCGCCTGAGAGTGAGAGGTACGTTTTACAGGGAAAAAATTGTAAGCGGTTTTCTTCCCATACGAAGATTTGAATCGAAAAAACAAAAGAATAAAAAAAGAAAAGAAAAAGAAATTGCAGTGTGGTTAATGGGCCAATATGTTACTCTATAAGGCCCAAACTGCTAATATTCGGCCCTTGGAGCTCTTTCCATGAAAGAAAAAAAAGTTCACGCGCCTAGCTTTGCTATTTTATGGATTTAGCACGTTTCGTTCCAGGGATTTTCGGGAGGTGACTCTCACGCGCTCTTCATGCGCGTGTGTTTCAACTTTTTTTCATATATATTTTTTATCGTTTGCTAAAACTTTTTTCGTTGTATGCTTTTAAATTGGAAAAAAATCCAATATAAAAGCTAAAAATCAATGCAAAAAAGAGAGGCAGAGTACAACATACGATGTTACATGAATACGGACGTACAATACGAGTGTATACGAGTGTATAGGCACTTTGGTGAGAAAAATATGTACCTTTCAGCAGGGGTATCAATTTATGTCCGAGCTTCAAAGTCCGGTCCGACCCAACCTAAAAATTAGCGGATTTCGGACTCGATTCGTACTTGTCCAAAAATCCGATATTTAAAAAAAAAGAAAAAAATAACATTTACAAAGGAAATTATGCAAACCGGCTATTCCGATCCAAGCCCGAAATATATAAGACCGAACTTCAGGTTTCGTCACATAGGACCGAAAAAATTGGGCCGTCCTGAGTCCGAGTACAAAACTTTTGGACCGAGTGCGGGTTTGGGCCGGTCCGATTGACACCCCGCCTTTCAGCCGAAACGAGAGCATATATCTCTCTAACATCAGGCGAGATGAACATTAGGCAGTGGAATTTTGATAGATTTTTTTTCTAGGGCTAATATAAGAATTAGTTCAACAAAAGACGTTTTTGGCAATGAAAAAGCTCGCATTCACTTACGTTGTTTCAGACAGAAGACAGAAACAACATGATGTTCTCTCGTATCAATCAATCGTCTGAGATTCTCTCTGACAGGTACCGACCGTACAAATTGCACCACTTTCTGCAACCAAAATGGAGATCATCAGTCCAGAGGTCGATGTAGACTAGGGTTCGTTACTTAATAATATGTTATGTTGGCAGACTTGATTTTTTTTTCTTCCAATAGATACATCAACAACGGTTATTGTAACAAAAAAATGCTTAATTTTGGGAACCGCCATTGCTGATCTGACCCCGCGGCTTTCTGCTCCATGCCCCAGAGCATTACTTTGCCCAGCTCTTGCCTGGGTACAATCCAAATTCTACACATCATCACCGACCGAAACAAAGCATCTCGTTGAGCGGGTTACGAGAAAGGGTCTCACCACAAGAGTGTATTGTCTCGTAGAATATTCTGCAAGAGGCTGCTTCCAGGACTCGACAGAAACATTGACCAAGAACAAATAAAGCCAGCTCTACTACGCAAACACACATGTTTTGCTTCATTTACTAAACGATAAGTTTTGCATCATTTAAGCATGGAGAAGCCAAGTGTGCTCTAAATATATACATGCTTGTGCAACAAACACATACCCTGAGATGGTAATCCTATATAGAAAACCTATTGAAGCATCCGTGCAAAGTCACAGAATCCACTTGAAAATTTATAGAACAAGAGTAGATTAGTTACCGTAAGAATAATCTCCGATAAGCATTGAGCGCTGATGACATGGTTATGCTATGCAGATCTCTCTTGCAGGAGAAACATTCAAATGCACTGAACATCTCTACCCCTGGAGAACAAGCTCAACGAATGGATTAATCCTTTAGATATGGCAGAATTGGGCAGAGCACAAATTGACAGCATAAAGGATACGGAAATCCGGTTAATCAAGTTTTTGGCATTTGTTAATGGGTAAAACATATTAAACTGGATTGACAAAAAAATTATGAAACTGGAAGTTTCCATGCAATGTGCAGATCGAATAGAGAAATGCCAAGAAATCTCTGAACCTATTTTACCATCAATATGTGCCATTGGTTGTGGAGAATAATCAACCACTTCAAAAGGTTGGTCGACTAAATTAGTTATAGCAACTGTTCCGGGTTTTATTTTCTTTCTGAGTTTTATGTACAGGATTACCAGAACATTATGGAGTATGCCTGCAACGCTTACGGAGGGGACCAAATACCAAAAAGCTTGCATGATCTTTAACATCAACAGTAGAGTGGAGAAATTCAGTGATAACTATCTAGTTCACTATCCCATTAACCAAGATTTGAGATCAAAATCCCCAAATCCCTGAAAGATTCAATAATATTGTAATGTTTGAAATCTATAGACTGCATACCTGTGAAAGTCTGCTCTTTTTTGCATTGCCTCTCTTCCAAGTTTGTAAACCAGAAACTGGCTTCCATAATTCTGGACAAGAAGACTAGTCCGCAACATTGTTTTTCAAAAGCCAAGAGTTAGGCCAAGATTTTGAAGATTTTAGAAGCTACAACTTGTAAAGAATACAACTGAAAAAACAGTATAGGGGACACTTCTGCAGAGAAATATTCATATATAAATAAGGTGCTAGTGTTACATCAACAGAAGAAATTTCACAGTTTCATCACAAAGCGATACCAAGCTCTTGCCTATCTGATAAAGGCAAATGTCACTCATACTACCTATAAAATAAAGATTGTGACATTTAAATAGTGGTGGACAAAAGGGTCTTGGATGGCAACCAGGATTGATGTCCGAGATTCAGACCAAGCAAGAACAAGAGAGAGCAGGCTCATATGCCAAACCAAAGAACTGGAGGCAAGAAGGAATCACTATCTATAGTTTGTTTATAATTTCCCAAACACTGTTACACGCTTCAAAGGCAGTCATCTTGGTCTGACCAAATTCAAACTTCTCCATTACCCTTTTATCCTGATCGACAATGTCTGTTGTAGACTCGAGTCAAGGAGATTGCATGACATCGATTACCGATTGTAAGCATGGAATAAGACTGAACACTGGAAATTAAACAAAGGTAGAGGGAAATTGAATAGGATACAGCCTGAGATTTTTGATGCGTCGTCGTCAAAATTTGGTATGACTTTTGTTATAGAAGCATACAGTGAAAGCATTTTCCTGCAGATAGAGAACAAATATAATCAGAAAAAGCCAACACCATCTTCGCACAAAGAAAGAATTGAGTTTGTGGATCTTACTCCATTCTAGTGTCATCTTGCTGTTTTCTCTTTAAAGCCAGTCTCTGCTCGTCAACCAGCGCTCTGTGACAATTCAGCTCGTTGATTTCATCTGAAATGGCTGTGTTGACGTAAACCAAAGAACAAGGAGAACATCATCTCATTGAACCAATAGAAAATGACAAATCACACGGTCAAATTATACGTATCTAAGATCCTCCTTCAGCAGGCGTTCTCGCTCCAGCTCTTCATCTAGCTCTTTCTGAAGACCCTCGAGTTCATCGTCCGACGTAATGCCAGAATTCGCCTCCTCTGCCTTTTTATGGCAAGCATCGAGTTTCTTCTGACAGTCTGTGGAAACACCGAAATTGCCACTCAATTTAGAACATATCGACAAATCTCACGGATCCTGTCAACGTTTGGCGAAATAGAAACTATTTCGTCATGGAGTGAGAGATGTGTTTCTGACGTTCGATAGATCGCCGAATCTCGTTGAAATCCTCGTCGCAAGAGAACTGGATGGCTTTCAAATGGTCGAAACTTTGCGCCAAGACATCAAATCCCTTCTTATCACTTAAAACTTCGATTAGGTCGTCCCCATAAGACATCAATACCTCCAGATCGAAATTTTTTGACGTATTCTCCATCTCTGACTCGGGGAGAAGATCAGTCCTTTGGTCTGCTCCTAAACCCTAGGAATTTCAGATTATCAGAGGGCTCAAATTCAATCACAAACCAGAAAGAAAGCACGTAAAAACCGATCTTTCCGACAGGACAACAGTTACGAAATGGAGGATAGCGGTTACAAAAACGTAACGCGAAGCACCTGGTTCGCCATCTTGACCCCTTGCTCAACTCGAAGGAAGTGCAAGGAAAATTCGAAATCAAAAAGGAAAAACCGAGAGAGAGAGAGAGAGAGAGCGCGGGGGGAAATCGGGAATTATAAAATTTAAAGCGATTTGGTAGGCCGAATTTCAACTGAATTTGGGCCCAGCCCAGTTATATGAAATGGGTATTTATGACAAGCCCATTAACTTTTTTAATTCATCGTCGTCGTACTGAAAATCTCTCTCTCTCTATAAATTGTCAAGCACATGACATGAATGAATGTGCCCGAGACGAGTCTATGCTTTTATTTTCTTGAGTATATGCTTTCTTACCGTTGCGACATTTGGGAACAAAGAAAACATGAAAATGGGTTCACTATGTCGGATCTTGTGGACGTCACATTAAAGCCCAATACGAGGTCCAAACCAAGAAGGCGTCTCTTTGACCAGCCCATAGAAACCATATTGACGATAATCAATTTTTATTAAACAAACAATAAATTTTATGTAAACTCCAATCTATAGAGGTTGGGAAAAAAACCAAGTTATATATCAGAATAATCCGGGTTTAATAACGGTTTTTTTTTTTTTTTTTTTTTCTAAATTAGGGTTTAATCGCAAACGATGAACACATGCAGTTGGGCACAGGTAGAGAAACCGTGAATTGTTGATTCAGTTTATACAAAACGAGTAGAACATGAAGAACAGCCATCACAAACATACAATCAAGAGGTGAAGGTGTCAATGATGGTGGTGTGGAGTGGGTCGCTGAGGTGAGTGGCCCAGTTGTCGAGTGGGCCCTTTCCGGTGGCGGCTGCCTGGACAGCGAACCCTAAGAAGGCCACCATCGCCAGACGAGCGTGTTTGATCTCAGCCAGCTGGAGCTGCGCCTTCTTCTCCGGGTCAGCTGCTAACCCTAGCGGGTCGAAGAACTTCCCTCCTGGGTATAGACGCTTCTCCGGGTCAAGCTCCGAGTTGCGTTGAAACTCTATGTATCCAATCACCAACACCTCTATCCATATCAGTGTCGAGATCGAGAACGGCAATGGCTGTCCCAGATACGACGACCCTTCCACCAGCTCCACCTATTATGCATTCCACGTTCCCCATTCCAAATCATGGGTTCAAGCCATGTCTTTGAGATCCATGATCAAGTAAAAGGAAAATGAAAAAAGGGTGGATTGGGTACCTTGCCGGCGTCTTGCCAAGTGACACCGGTGAGCCACTCGACGGAGAGAGCGCCGAGAGTGGCCAACATCGCCCACCGACCGTGGATCAGCTCACACTCCCTGAACCTCTGAAGCCCGAACACTTCACTGTACGGCTGAAACGGTGTTGATTTCACGTCCGCGTCCTCCGTTCGTGTTCCTATCACGTCCCCCGCCAGGTTCTTCGCCAGGTTCTGGTCCAACCCATCGTAATCGAACTGCAGGTACTCCGCCGGTTTACCCAGACCGAATGGATCGAACCCGTAGTCTCCCACCAACGAACCGTCGAGCCACTCGGGGGCTTTGGCTCCTGGGTACCAAAGCGGCCTGTCCGTACCGATCGGTTTGGATTTCTTCTTGGGTGCGGCCGATTTCTTAGTTCCAAAACCGAACCGGGCGGTGAACCGGGAAGAACCGGACTGGAAGTCAGGAACCACCCGAGTTCCCATGAAAGAGGAAGCGGCGGCGGAAGTGGCGGCCATCTCTTAGGGCTTGCCTTTGAGATCTCGGCTTCTTTGTGTGCCTTTGAGTTTTGAGGGCCTTCTCTTGGGGGATAAAAGAGGGTGTTTGCGTTGTCCTGATTGTCGCGATCTTGGGAGATGATATTTTGGGTTAAAAGATGGAACATGCGATCTACGGAGGTTGATTCGCGACCGTTGGATGGAGGAGCGTATCCATCTGACGGTGGAGAAACTATCGATCTTATCTTCGCCTTATCTAGTGATGTCTTTGTTCTTCTTTCGGATGACGAGCACTGCCTCATTGGCTTGTGGAATTCCGGGCCCACCTGAGAAAAGACGGACATGCCACGTGGCGATACACTACACGTCACGACATAACACACTGTCCAAACAAAAATGTTTATGAAACCTCACTGCAGTCGAACAATTTTATCCTTGTAAAGTGGAAAAACCAACGGATACAATAAAATCAACAAGTGTAAATATTGAATTACACAAGTCTTGAAGTTTGGCATAATCATTATATACAAATCCAAATGAGGTGGAGAAAGAAACCAATGTCTTCGTGAGGAAATTGGTTAAAAAAAGGGCTAGAGAGAGAGAGAAACACACAAACTATATATACAAAATGACACAAATAAGAGAAAAAGGAGAGTGATGAATGCAGTGGAGAAGAGGACAGTCAGGGAGGGAGGGGATCATAAGAGACGAGACTTTGGTGAGGGAAAACGAGAGGCAACTTATCGATGTACATTAACAGCCTCTTCAGGTTCTCCCTGTAGATGGCCGGCAACTCCACGATCTCCGTCGTGGCTGTGTATATCCACAGGTCACCCGATTTCACCCTTTTCAAGCTCCCCCTGCAGAACGGGCACGACTCCGACCTACCACACCTGTCCACGGGATCAAACCCATCTGAACCGAATAATATATAACTATAACCGAACCGAATCCGGTATAAAAAACGAATGGTCATGCTTTCCCCAAAACAAGAAACAATCCGAAATAAATTAAAAATAACCGAAACTTTCTTTGAAAAAAATGACTATTTTATCGAGAAAACCCGAAACTGAATTGAATTCGGTGTTAAAATCAAATGGTTTGTCATTTTTCTAAAAACGAAATAGACGAACCCGGATATGGAAGAACCGAAACCCCAATAAGCCACCGCACACACATTTGTCTCAGCCCTCACATTCTCCAGCATTGACTAGAGTCAAACCTCTGGTTCTTAGAATAAATACAACGAGTACGACTAATCTTGGCAGCCCATTAATCCCAAAATGTTTGGATTGAAAGTGAGAAATGCAATGTGATTGCAAAACGTAGAGAGGGCATACCAGTTTCTGTAGCATTTCATACACATGGAGTGGTTGCAAGTGGGAAGAACCACCTTGCTTCGCACCTCCAAGCAAATACCGCACTCTTCTTCCCTCTCCACATCAATCTCCGACACTTTCCCCTTGTCTGTTCCGTCCTCCCTTCTGTATCTCTTGTCACATATCTCCCTCTGTTTCCTTTCTTCCACATCAGTGATCCCTCTATGAAGTTGCAACAATGACGGAAATATCACCTCTGCCCATGAATAAACAGCCGTAATTAGATAATCAAACGGCAATTGAGAAAAAAGAAACTAGATTTGATTCTTCATGAATGAATGAACACCCATAATTAGATAATCAAGTGACCACTAAGCGGATTCCTTGGGCTCGACTTTGAGGGCAACTCAGATTTATAATTGTACACAAAATGATCAGTTATGTAAACACATGCCATAGAATTCTTTTATACTAGCTCTCCTTTCGTGCAGCAACATTGTCGTATTTCCATCCACATATGCCTGTCGAAACAAAAACAAAAAAAAAACTATCCGGCGGTCATACATTTGCACTCAAGTGACTAACTTGTCCCGAAAAGAGACAATCCAAAGGAGAGAGGACACAGTACCAAAAAAGATCACCTTATAGATAAGGATTCTAAGCAATCCCAAAGCACCAGCGAAATGACAATCAGTCCACTGAAGCAGGAAGAAGAAGAGATGAGCAACTGGACTGTAGGTCAATCTCATCTGTAGGCACGCACCATCGTACTCGTCCGGATACTCGGACGCCCTTCACATATCAAACACAGTTAATTTATCTCTCGATTCCATCGTGCAACGGAAGCATATTCACGAAAATAAACCGATGGTTCACATCAAAGGGTAATTTAAGACTAAACCAGTGAAGATTTGATTTGAGCAAAAGCCTATTCCCCATGAAATGTATCTTCTTTGTTTTTGGTTCCTCATGGTTTAGGGTTAGCGTCTGGGTTTCTCAAGATTACATAGTTTAATGACGTAATAACCTGAAACGGGTTGCGTAACGCAATGGACTGAGTGACGTACTTCCAACCCATTCTGCAAAACCAGAACACATCTAGGAAATAACTACACATCCCCAGACAGATCAGACTCACAAGTACGATCAGCATGAAGACTATGATCCTTCAACATACCAAGAATCAAGATTGTATTGAAATTGAAGCTTCGACCATGAACAATCAAATCAAAATTTCACAAAAGTATACTATCAATTTCAATCCAACCCACGAAAACAAAAACCACAGCGATTTAACCAACAGACAGTCGCAGTATTTACGATCTTCGAAAAAACAAAATCAAACTCAGTGACATGAAATTATAGGATCCACCGCCGACTACACAATGAAATGACGATCTTTCTGATCAGCAAACCTCAGACGAACGAAAAATCAGCTAAAACGTAAACGTGTGTGTGTGTGTAGTGTAGATTATATATGCATAGAGAGAGAGAGAGAGAGAGAAGGATACATGGTGTTGGCAAACTGGATATCAGCTTCAAGAGCCTTGAGCGAATCCTTGAACGATTTCCGCATTTTTCCTTCGCCCGCGACAATTCCCATCAACCAAGCAGCAAATTCCTAAACCCTAAAACCTTAATCCTTGTTCCAACGCCATCACCGCTTGCCCAAAATCAACATTAACCACACGAAACGCCCACGCCCTCTCCAATTTCCTTGGAAAATTTTCTCACTTAACTAGAGAGGGAGAGAGAGTGAATTTCTGATTTCGCGTACAGAACACGTAACGCCGATACGAGCATCTAAAACCACGGAAAGATTTGTTTGGGAAATATGAAATGACGGAAACGCCCATGGATATGCTTTAAAATTACGTGGCTCCACCAAACAAAAAAGAGACTCTAAAAACCTGTTACCGGTGATGTGACGAGTGTCACTGCCCTTCATGGAGGATACAGCAGACGACAGCGGCGTGGATATCAGAGAAAGGAGACACGTGGCGTCAGACAGGAGGCATGGGACCCAGTAACCAAGCTTTCAGTTTTCCTTTGTTACGATGGGGGTGCACCACCAACACATGATCATTACATACATTTCAAGTAATGTAAATAAATTTTAAAATTAATAATTTAACATGCACAGTGCTTTTGCTCGTGGTGACTTAATCAGATTTTAATTTGTCGTCGCATTGTAATCTTAAAATTTCAAAAACTATTAATGTTAGAAACTGATTTTTTAATATTTAATAAAAATAGATTGGTTGTTAAAAAAGAATATGGATAAGGCAAGAGAATAGTATAATAATAAAGATAAGTATATAATAATATTATAATAATGAAAGTAGGCCATCATTGGATATTATTGGTGATAATGACGGACACAACCACTAATCCAAATTAATAAGCACAAAACCAACGAACCACCCACGAAAGGCCACAACATCACTTTTTGCAATCCCGCCATTTTCCTTTCCCTCGATGTCAAGTAGGGGTGGACATTTCGGGTTTCGGTTCAGTTTTCGATTCGGTTATTTCGGTTACAAAAAACCATACCCAAACGGGTTATATAGATTTATTCGATTCGGTTCGGTTTCGGTTCGGTCCGGTCCGGTTTTTGCATAATAAAATTATAACCAAACCATTAAATTTTTCGGTTTATTCGGTTCGGTTTTAGATCGGTTCGGTTCGGTTATAATATATTTTAAAAAAAAAAGAATATTAATTCTATACAAACTTCAAAATATCTATCCAAATAAACTCATAAAATAATTAATCCCCCAAAATAGTTAAAAAAAACCTACAAAAACTTCAATAATTAGGTTAAAAATTTAAAATATTAAATTTTATGGTTTATTAAGTGAAACACATAAGGTACAAATGAACTAAAAAAAAATAGCACTAATAATAATAAGGGTAAAAATTAAAATATTATAAAAAACTCTAATAACCGTTCGGTTAACCGTGGTTATCCGGTTATTAACCGAACCGAACCGAATCCGAACGGTTATTCAACTTCCTTAGCCATTCGGTTATTAAACAAATAACCGAACCGAACCGAACCGCTTTTATTCGGTTTGGTTCGGTTAATAACCGAAATGACCACCCCTAATGTCAACCCAAAAAGAAAAAAGAGAGGTACAACATACAACACGGTCGGCATTTCGGTTTCGGTTTTTGATTCCGTACGAAAACGATATTTTCGGATTTACAAAAATTGTACCAAATCTGAACAAAATATTAACCGATTAGATTCAATTTTAGTGTCGATTCGATTCGATGTCATTATATAAATACTAAATAAGTATCAAACCTTAATATTTAGTGGATAATTCAAATTTTAGCTTGGTTTTTATCGAATTTGGTTCGGTTCGAGAACCGTTCATTCGATTCTATAAAAAAATGTTTTACCTCAGTTGTTTTTTCACGAGACTTCGTGATGAAAATGCTGCTCTTTTTTCTGTATATCTTGAGTGAGAGTTTTCATCTGCAGACACGGAAGAGTAAAGAAGAGCTTACTGAAAATCTATCTAGTGAGAAAAATCTTGGAAACAGATCTGTTCCACCATTTTCTTTCTGGTTTTCCCGGGAACCAAACAGAATCATACAAGGAAAAAAAATGCAAAGAGAATCCTTTACCTACCTCTTCTTCTTCTTCTTCACGAACATCGGATGGAGTATAGCAGCACGGCTGCACTAGTACTCGAGACGGCAAAAGTTTCAGCTGACTGACAGCCATTCTCCGGAAATCGTAGAAAGCAAAACATGATAGCGAAAACTCCGAAGATGTTTAGGATTTATGGTTCACCGGAGTAATCAAGCTAAGTCAGCATTCTTCAGCTTCTTTCGTTCCCTCACCCGCCAAATAGTTTCGCCCGATTCGTCTTCCTGCAGTGCCTCCGCCGTCCAAAAGTTGCCGTGTTCAGAGCCCCTCTCCCTTTTTCTTCTTAACCTGATTTTCTAAAACCAACTTTAACCAGAGCCCCCGTTAATGAAGATTCGGAAAATCCTCAGTGTGCTCGCTCGCAGTTTAAGCTACAGAAGTTCTGCATCTTAAATCAGAATATGAGTACCAAAATCATGTTAGAAGATACTGCATTTTCAAGTCTCGGTAGCATAACCTTAAGTATAAGAGCAGGAGATAGAAGAGAATGCAGTTTTATTGTATAATCAAACCAAGATACACTTTGAGTACAAGAAAGAGCCGGAACGCCCCGAAATGTGGCCAACCTCTTGGGAAACTCGACTCTTTTACGCATTATTACAGCCGGAAACGATAACTTAGACATGGATTCAGGAACAATGTTCGTCTGTAAAAGGATAAGGGGGGATACATCTGTTACGTTCAACTCAATAAAAATGGTATATAAGGCGCGGAATATAGAGTGGATATGACCTTCTCGGAATTTTGAGTCAACGATGAAAAGGATTTCTTCAGGTCTGATCATCAGCAGTGGTAGGGGAAGCTTTCTTGCGGTTTTCCTCCATGATCCTCTGAAACTCTATCTCACTTGCCGCAACGAGCTTTTTCACAAGGTCGAATGTGGTAAGCCTTATACTGCATCGAGAAGAAGATAGTCCGTTAGCTAGAGGTTTAGCTCCATGTTAAGAAATCAACAGGAGAAATAATCTTGTGTAACAATCTCACAAATCTTTTGCCGACTGAATTATTGGACCTATAGTTTTTGTAAATCTAGGACCTTTGGCCATTAGATGATATAGTCCTAAGAAGTTGTTTGCACTTGACGGGATCAAATCTATATCCGATGTTTGTATCACACCAAATCTAGATGACTCTCTAATTGGCCCTACATGGCTTCGAGAATGAAATCTGAGCGGTATAATTGTGTACAGACCTGCTATTCGGCATGTTTTTCAGCGCATTGGGCACAAAACCCCTATACAATCCAATAACACCATCACGCTCTATGATTCCTGTAACATTAAGGATAAACTGGTCACAACAAGTTCCGATTCAGAAATTCAGTGAAGAAGGTGCGGTACGTAAACATATACGGAAAATTCACCTGGGAACGCTTCTAACACTGACTTGTATGGCGTGCCCCTTATTTGCATTTGTCTTCTAACAGTATCCAATGGGTAGCACGTAACGGTGGCAACAGCAGCCGAGATTATTGCCGTTAACAGAGACGATTGTGTCTTTTGCTGATACTTCTCTGGCAAAGACTTCTTTACCCTGAGATAAATAAGAATGGGGAAAAAAACATTAAGGCAATTTAACTTATATTTTACATTATTTGTAAAACTATTTTCCTGAGACCGGGTGTGTTAACGGACTTACAAGTCGAAAACGCAGAAGTTGACAGCGATATAAGGCGCTATACCCAAAAGCGAAGGCCCAAGACCATAGTAAAAGGATGCAAGTCCTTCCTCTCGCAGCATGGCCATCGCAACCTAGAGGCATAATGTCAAATACTGTAACCTGTAAATAAAATAATTCATGGAAGAGAAATCTGATATGTTATCAGATGAACATACATACCTGGGACATGGTTCGATACCCTGGCTCAACAGCTAACCGTAATCTCAGGACATCCAAAGGGTATGTAATCTGCAGAAGAGGAAAACAACAGATGCATTAAGATTTCCCTTAGACTAGAGAAATTTACAAGTAGCATACAAACTAAGGAGAGAAAAAAGAAACTTCAAAAAATGACCATTGAACTACATCACTTACAAAAGTGGATGTCATGCCAGCACAAGCACCTGCGGCAAGCCTTCCAATAACAGAAAGTTCACCATCCTTTCCCCTGAATAATCTCTAAAGCACAAACACAAAGGGTAAGTCAAAAGAGCTTTGATCAGACGGGTTGGTGATCTTCAGACAAAAGCGATAATCGGATGCAAAAGCTTTACCTTGTAAGTTTCATATGCAAACAACTGGACGGCACTATAGGGTATGATCCTTATCACCTGGAACATTTTCAGGCGAGTTTAGTGAGTAAACGAACTCATAGTACTAGGAAATGTTCCAACATGGATGTAACAGATGTCCGGAAAGTTTTAAGAGGGATGAAAAATTGCAGGTACCTGAGGCATGTTGCCTTTCCAATACCCTTTAACCCCTTCCTCTTTTGCGATCAGAGAAATTGCCTGTAAGAGTGTCAGACAGAAGATATTAAGAGCAACCAATGCTTTTGAGTTCTGACAACAAAATTGAATTATACCTCTATGAAACCAATAGCCTTCTTAGCAGTTTGTTGCCCAGCTCGAACTCCATGGGTCTACAATAAACAAGACTTCGTTTAGACATAGAGAGCCAAGAAACGTTGATCTCAAGCAAGAAGACGTGTACTCAGCAATCAATGGACAATCCATTCGCATGAAAGGATTTGACTTTGCCGTTACATTGGCAAAATCATATATACGTACAGGGATACACTGTTTCCAAGCATGAACATGATGCAAGTATTTTCTGTTTATCAACAGTGAAAAAGGACTTATTTACATTACCAAAAAAAAAAGGACTTATTTATATTTTATTTACAAAAAAGGGCTTTTTTTTAAAAGAACAGTGATGAAGGTGGTAATCCATTTACTCGTTAAATTATATATTGGTCAAAAAAAAGAGAAGAACAAAAGCAAAGCAAGAATAGTCAGAAACAGCGACCGCTGAAGAAGACGACACCGTTTTGCCATGTTGTAAAGTCCGAGCCCCACCAACGTTAAAATTTTAAAAAAAACTAAGGAAAAAAAACAAAAACACGTGTGGAAAACATTTAAGTAGTTGAGGAGGGAGAGAGCCACCTGCATAAGGAGCTTGATGCGGTCAAGAGGAGCCGTCACGGTCTTCGCGGCGGCTCCGGCGATCGCTCCGGCAGCAAATATCGCCGCGTCCTTCGGAACATACGACAACAGCGCGAGTGGATGCTTCAACAGCTGCGCCGGAGAAGGTGCGGAATCCTCCTCCTCCTCCGCCTCCTTCCTCTCCGCCTTCTCCGCCACCGTCACCGCCGCGAAACCTCCGTTAGGATTAAATCCCTTTCGGATTCTCCTCTCCGACACCGAAACGGACGCGAAATTGGCGAAAACTCCACCACCAACGCCGCTGTCCCTGCTCCATCTCTGTCGATACAACCGCGAATTCTTCTCCATTGGCCATGTGTATTCTTCCATGAGCGCAAAATCGGAGGTCCTGAGCGACGGGATACTGTGGAATTGAAGCTGGGAATGGCCGTCTCCCATGGCGGATTTTTGTAAAAAGAAAATCGAATTCAGGACGAAGTGTAGGAGAGTTTGCCCGACTTCCGGATTCCTCAGACGCAGAGCGCAGCAACTTCAGAGAGCAAAATGACTGGGCCCAAAATATAAATCGGAACCTGGAATGGCATTTCAGTAATATTCAGTTTTGTTCCAAGTAGGGCCTACAAGAGCAAATTAGTCGGAGGCCCAACGGGCTTTACTATTTTTTGTGCCCAATACTGAAGAGGTGAGCCCTATCGGCCATTGGGCCAAGCAAAAAGGGGAAAAAATAAATCAGAGGATAATTAACAGAAAACAAAGATCATGAGACTAAAAAACATTTAACATTTGTGTCGTTGACCGTTCAAACGTAATCGTAAACACCACCACTCTTTTTTCCCCAGTAAAATGAAATCGAGAAATTAAAGCAAAACCCTCCTCCTCGCACCGCCACCGCTCGCTATAAAGCATTTTGCAGATAGACGAGGACTGGTCAGAAATCTCTCCTCCAATCCCTTCTCTCTCTCTCTCTCGACCCTCGATCTCTCTGAGTGCAGCAATGGAAGGAACCGGCGTCGTGGCAGTGTACGGAAATGGCGCGATTACGGAGGCGAAGAAGTCGCCGTTCTCCGTGAAGGTGGGTCTAGCGCAGATGCTCCGAGGCGGTGTAATCATGGACGTCGTCACACCCGAGCAGGCTCGCATCGCTGAGGAAGCCGGCGCTTGCGCTGTCATGGCGCTCGAGCGCGTCCCGGCGGACATTCGAGCGCAAGGCGGTGTCGCTCGCATGAGCGATCCTCAGCTCATTAAGGAGATCAAGCAGGCAGTCACGATTCCCGTCATGGCCAAGGCGCGGATCGGCCATTTCGTCGAGGCTCAGATCCTCGAAGCCATTGGAATCGATTACGTCGACGAGAGCGAGGTTCTGACTCTGGCCGACGAGGACAACCACATCAACAAGCACAATTTCCGGATCCCTTTCGTCTGTGGTTGCCGGAATCTCGGCGAGGCCCTGAGGAGGATTCGGGAAGGCGCCGCCATGATCAGGACCAAGGGAGAGGCCGGGACGGGGAACATCGTGGAGGCGGTGAGGCATGTTAGATCCGTAATGGGGGACATTAGGGTTTTGCGAAACATGGATGACGACGAGGTGTTCACTTTCGCCAAGAAGATCGCCGCTCCGTACGATCTGGTGATGCAGACCAAGCAGCTCGGCCGTCTCCCCGTCGTGCAGTTCGCCGCCGGCGGTGTGGCCACCCCGGCCGACGCGGCGCTCATGATGCAGCTGGGTTGCGACGGTGTCTTCGTGGGGTCGGGTATCTTCAAGAGCGGTGACCCGGCACGTCGAGCCAGGGCCATCGTGCAGGCCGTGACGCACTACAGCGACCCGGAGATGCTGGCTGAGGTGAGCTGTGGGCTCGGAGAGGCCATGGTTGGGATCAATTTGAACGACGACAAGGTGGAGAGGTTCGCTAAGCGCTCCGAGTGAGGGTTCAGATTCCATATGGTTCGGCGTTCTCGATCTCTCTCATCTCTATAAATTGAATTTAGTGTCGTCAAAAAAAAAAAAGATGATAGATTTGTTAGCGTCTTACATTGGGTTTTCCGAATTGTTTCAAAGTGTTTGGTCGTGCTGAAACTCTGTTTCATCAGCAACGTATCCTCCATTTGCTAGAACATGTCTTCAATGATAATAATTGCCCATTTGATGATGAGAGGTATTGTATTGGAGTGATATGCCCCTCCGGCAAGCAAATGTATGGTGATGATCCATGGATCTCTGGCAAGCACGGGTCAGTAACCTGGTTTTGTTTTGGGGATAAAATTATCAAAGATGGTATCATGCTCTCATGTCGGGTGAACGACAGAGAAAACATCATCTTTTAAAGGTCTATTTTTTGGGGGTTGCCCTCAACAGAACGGATTTGGAGACTTTTCATTATTTGTTCCAATTGGGAAAGTGGGTTCTTCAGCCAATTATGTATGCTTCTAAACTGGTTTTGAGAAACCGATTATGAGATGTTAGATGTGTTTTAGGACAGGATAATCAAATCCAATGACCACAATCGGCCTTATTGACAGAGAGATGGATTACATATTTACAATTATAACAAGTTTTTTTTTTATTATGCTAGAGATATTTGGAATTTGTTCCCCATGGTGGATCCAGTTCTTCAATGGCGTTACCAAAGTGCAATAATTTCTGCATCATATAAACCACTTAAAATTTTAAAATGTACTGAGCTGGGCCTGTAAATGTGTACGGACAATATAACATTTGAGCCCACAAGATTCGGTTCGAACGAATCCACAATCAGTACCGGTCTGGCAAAACCAGCTCCTGGTGCAGCTGAGTTTCCATTGAAGATTCAGGGACAGGGAGGGAGAGGGCACGGCGACGAAGAAGAGATCAAAGAAGCAGCAGCTTTAGCTATGGGGGTGGATTACTACAAGGTCCTTCAGGTGGATCGCAGCGCAAAAGACGAAGATTTGAAGAAAGCTTATCGTAAACTCGCCATGAAATGGCATCCCGACAAGAACCCTAACAACAAGAAAGAAGCCGAGGCCAAATTCAAGCAGATCTCTGAAGCTTACGATGTAATACCTTCTGACCAACTCAAAGCTTTCCTTTTCGTAACAAAGCTCGTTTTCGGTTTTCGCAATTCGTGTGTGTGTGTTTTTTCGGGAGAAAGCGACTTTTTTTAAAAAAAAATTCCAAGTTAACCCTTTTTCGGACAACCTTACATATGTTTGGAGAGCTTCCGTTCGAGCGATTCCGAACTTTTTCAATTCGATGATGTTTTTTTCCTAAATCGAAGACCTTTTCACCGTTTCCGGGAAAAAAAAAATGTAACCTTTAATCCACTTTTTGACGAACTGGAAAAAAAGATGTTCATGTCGTTGGATTCATTCGGTTGCTATCTGTCGTTTGGCGAAACGAAAGGTTCTGAGCGATTCCCAAAAACGAGCAATCTACGATCAGTACGGAGAAGAAGGGCTGAAGAATCAGGCGCCGCCTCCCGACGCCGGCGTCTTTTCTGACGGTCCGACGTCGTTTCGGTTCAACCCCAGAAACGCCGACGACATCTTCTCCGAGTTCTTCGGTTTCTCACGGCCCTTCGGCATGGGTGGCGGCGACTCCCGCTCCGGCCCGTCCGGGTTTCGTTTCGGCGACGATATCTTTGCGCCGTTCAGGTGTTCGGCCGGTGAAGCCTCCAATGCGCCGAGAAAAGCTGCGCCGATAGAGAGGCAGTTGCCTTGTAGCTTGGAGGATCTGTACAAGGGAATCACCAAGAAGATGAAGATTTCACGGGATGTCATCAATTCTAGTGGGTAAGTTCCATTTCCTTTGAGCTTTTTTAGATCCTCCCTGAGCTTTACATTCTAGTGGAATTACCCGAATTTAGCAACTTTTAGGTCGTGTCTTGGCTTTATATTCTATAGAAATGGCAGTGGCACTGGCTAGGGCTCGGCTAGGTTCTGCTTTAATATTGTTGAGCCTTCTGATAGTTTATGGTGAAGCAGCATAGTTATGCGACCCGTTAGAGACTTCTGTCCGGTCCCATGTCTGCCCTGACCACTTGATCGCCATTGGATGTTCAAGAAAATGCACAATGGGAACATGATGAAAGAATCAGACCACCGGATAATCGAGTGTCCAACTTTCACCATTCTCTCTCTCTCCCACATGAACGGCTGTGTCTGACCGTTGTGGGTGATGGGCCAAGCCGCTCTGGCTGGAGCCTCTGGTCTCTGTGGCCAAATGTATTAATATCTCAGCTCTGGAGATTAGGTATTCGGAGAGTATATAAACTTGTAGTATGTAGAGGCTGATAACTTACTAGGACATGCTTCCCTTGTTAATCATCAATCTTAAGCTCTGTAAAAATCAAGGTTGACAATCGGCTTAGCTAATAGACTCTTTGATTCTGGTTTCTAAAGAAACTGTCTCCCTGAATCATGAATAGTTGAGGTGTCTGTCTACCTGTGTTCAGAGTGATCACTGTGAAGAACTGGTGAGTATGTCTGAGAATGTTTCTATCTACACTTAATCCATAATGCAGCATATTAACAATGACACCATTTCCGCCATTGCAGGAGACCCACGACAGTCGAAGAGATATTGACGATAGAAATCAAGCCCGGGTGGAAGAAAGGGACGAAGGTAACGTTCCCGGAGAAAGGAAACGAGCAGAGGGGAATCATACCGTCTGATCTCATCTTCATCATAGACGAGAAGCCACATGCTGTGTTCAAACGAGATGGGAACGACCTCGTTGTCACACAGAAGATCTCTCTGGCCGAGGCCCTCACTGACTACACGGTCCAGGTCACGACACTGGACGGAAGAACACTGACGATACCTGTCAACAGCGTGATCAGCCCTTCGTATGAAGAGGTGGTGAAGGGGGAAGGCATGCCAATTCCAAAGGACCCATCGAAAAAAGGGAACTTGAGAATCAAATTCAGCATCAAGTTCCCGTCGAGGTTAACGGGTGAGCAGAGAACAGGAATCAAACGGCTGTTAACGCCGTAGCCGCCCGGGATTGGATCTGAGTTAATAACAGATTCAGTCTCTCGGCAGAGAGATTGATTTCGGTTTTTTGGTCAGTTGGCTTAGGCGCAGAGAGAGAAGAGCAACTGGGTTTGGCTGTAGGAACTGTTATTGTTTTCTTGAATCTGGCAAAAGAGGCATATCTGCTTGCTTGCTTCTGTATTTTACAGAGATTTTCCCTTCACGCTCTGGCTCGGTTAGAAAATTTCCAAACCTTCCGGTTCAGGTAGAAGACACGGGGCCAAGCATTATATGGTCGGAAATGGAAAATGGGAAATGCATGAATCTCTTAATAAAAATGTATTGTTGTCGGGCCAATTTGGAAGGCCGTTAATATGTGGCTACTCGGCCTACCCATTTGATCAAAATATTTAATAAATTTCTAAATACTACTAACTTTCCATAATATTGTTTATATACAAACTTTCCCTAATCTCTCTCCATACCATTTTCGTTTTTAAAAAAGATGGACGTTAAGACATCCAAATATGCCTTTAACTTCACTCCTACTCAAATCCACACTCCCCACATGCATGCCAATTAGATTTAGTAAAATAACGCACCCCACCACAACCATCTTATTAATTAAATATTTTTTTAGAATATATAAAATTTAAGGGAAATTGGCAAAATGTACCAAACAAAAACAAAATTTACAAAATATCTTACACAAAAACAATATTTGCATATTATAGTTCCGTGTTATTTCTAAAACAATTACCATTTATCTTTCGATCCTTCTACTGGTTGGATCATATCTTCTCATCTCTATCCCTCTATGATTATGTGATAATCTGTCTTTCATAAACCGGTGCATTTTGAGATTTGTCTTTCTATTTTCTCCAACATTTTTTATATCTCCTCTATTTGTTACAGTTTATTTCATCTCTTCAAATACTCTTTTGATTGATTTTTTTTCTGTGATATTTATATGATCATGTTCTTTTCTACACACAAAATGTTTGATAAATTTCTATAACAGTAAACTGCGGCAATAATTTGTAGGTTGTAATAATAGAATGATATAATAGTCATTTTAATTTAAAAAAATATAGAATACAAAAGTTGTAATAATAGAAATATAGAATGGAAATACATTTTTTTTTGTACGTTATTGCAAATTTCCCTAAAATTTAATTCGAAAAGTTTTGGATTTTACATAAAATATATTAGGATTACATTTAATTTTTTTGTTATAAATGTAAATTTTAAAATATAATAGAAAAAATAATCATATTTTAAAATCAAAATGCAATTTAATATATTAACAAAATACATAATACCTTGGAAAATAATGATATCTATCTATTAAAAAATTGATTAATATTTGTGTTTATATAATGAATTTTTTGGATTTGTTTTTAGATCTGTATTGAAAAGTAAGAAATCAGTTAACAAAAATGTAAAAAAAAAATCCTAAATGCTAACTAATATGTAAAGAATGTACTCTTAAAATTAATAATGACCAATTTTGAAAACGAATTAAAAATATTATTTTAACATCAAATTGCGGCATACACCATATGCAAAAGCACCCGTCTGTCCTGATGATATAAACCGAGGTGCTTTCTGTACGGACACATTAGGGTGCTGCGAGAATGGCTCCTTGCCGAGGAATTAGGGTTCCTCTCTCCGTCGTGTTTTTGTGCGGATTCTTGTTACTTTTGCTCTTTCACACTCAGAGAATCAGTCTGCTTTCTTCTTCTTCTTCTTCTTCTTCTTCTTCTTCTTCTTCTTCTTCTTCTTCTTCTTCTTCTTCTTCTTCTTCTTCTTCTTCTTCTTCTTCTTCTTCTTCTTCTTCTTCTTCTTCTTCTTTCAAGTTCAAGGTCAGTTCAAGAAGAGAAGGTTTTCGGTCTGAATCTAGTAAGTGCAGGCGGAAAAGACATTGTTAATCTCTCTGTCTTTGATCTGTGTCCTTCTTCTACAGTGAAACAAATGATCTCTGATCAAACGAAGTCTGAGACGAATCTTTCCTTCTTCTTCTTTTTCATTCGGAACAGTGGAGAAGCTTGCAAAAGAAGAAACCTCGGTGGACCCAGAACTTGTGGACGACAGGTTCGAGTTTGACGAAGAGTGCGACGTCACGGTCGGGAAATGGGTTTACAACCGTTCGGTCGAACCTCTCTACACCGACGAATCCTGTCCGTACATCGACCGCCAGTTCACTTGCCTCAAAAATGGCCGGCCTGATACCGATTATCTACGTTGGGAATGGTGGCCTGATGGCTGTACTCTTCCCCGGTATATACATAGATACACACCCATGTGTTGTATATCGCTACCGGGAACTTCGATTTTTTGTATGGAGAGCGATGAAAGACTGTGAGATTCATGTTTTTGAGACAAGCTTTGACGATGTTTCTGAATTATGAACAGATTCGGTCCGAAGTTAGCATTGAATAAGCTCCGAGGAAAGCGGCTGCTTTTCGTGGGAGATTCACTTCAACGAAGCCAGTGGGAATCCTTCGTGTGTTTGGTGAATTCCGTCATTCCCGGGGGGAAAAAGTCAATTAAAAGACACAAAATATACTCTGTTTTCAGAGCTGAGGTTTGTATCGGTTAGACATACAACACAAAAGCATTGTTGCTTGGGTGACAAGCAACCAGTATACATGGCATATGCAGCTCAGATTTCGTCGTTTATAATTTCATTTCGGCGATTTGCATCTTTAGGAATACAATGCGAGCATCGAATTCTACTGGGCACCGTATATAGTGGAATCAAACACAGATGAACCAGTGATCGTGGACCTGCAGAAGAGAATCGTGAAGGTGGATTCTCTTGAAGAGAGATCCAAGTACTGGGAAGAAGCTGATATTCTCGTCTTCAACACTTATGTCTGGTGGATGACCGGCTTCAAGATCAAGGCTCTGTAAGTATTATCATCAACATATTCACATATATATACATATATATACGTATACGAAATGGGGGTGTGTTGTATAAGCAGATGGGGTTCGTTTGCAAACGGAGAAGAGGGAGCGGAGGCGCTGGATGGGCCCATGGCTTACCGGCTGGGGTTGAAGACATGGGCCAACTGGGTTGACTCCACCGTTGACCCCACCAAGACCAGAGTCTTCTTCACCTCCATGTCTCCTACTCATTCCAGGTTCCTTCCACTCTCCTTTTTTTACTTCATTTTTTTAAAAAATGAATTATATAGTCTATCGAAATTTCAATCGAATTGAAAAGTACTTTCCTACCCGACAAGGAGTGCGGACTGGGGGAAGCAAAACGGCACGAAGTGTTACAACGAGACGGAGCCCGTAAGGGAGCGCAACTACTGGGGAAGTGGATCAAACAAGGCGATGATGGAAGTGGTGTCGAGCGTCGGGAAGAGGATGAAGAGCCACGT